TGTCACAAATGTTCACATCTGCCTTTCTCTTTAGCCACCTCCTAGAGTGGGGCAGGCAGGTGGGCTCCACGGTCCAGGTTCAGCTGCCGCAGCCCTAAGCAGTAGAACTAGGGTTAGATTCTCCCCCGTCGTCTGCCCTTCACTGCACTGGCCCCCAGGGACACAAGCAAGCCAGGGCTGAGCGTGTGGGTTTTAACTTAGGGTGAGAGACAGCAAACAAAAGGTGGACAAGGACAAGAAGCGAGTCTCTGGGCTTCATGCATTGCAGCACTTGCTGATAGCCTGCCAAGTGGAGAAACTGACTCAGGAGCTCTCCTTAAGACTTTTGGCTTCAGGGAAGGCACTGTGGTGCAACGGGTTAACGCCCTGGCCTGAAGCACCGGCATCCCATATGGGCGCCGGTTCAAGTCCCTGCTGCTCCACTTTTGATCCAGCTCTCTGCTATGGCCTGGGAAAGCAGTAGAAGACGGCCCAAGTCCTTGGGCTCCTGCACCCATGTGGGAGACCTGGAAGAAGCTCCTGGCTTTCTGATCAGCACAGCTCTGGCCATTGCAGCCATCTGGGGAGTTAACCATCGGATAGAAGACCTCTCTCTCTGTCTCTACCTCTCTCTGTAACTCTCTTTCAAATAAATAAAATAAATCTTTTAAAAAAAAGACTTTTGGCTTCAGAATCTCTCATGCTGGCCAGTGGGGGAAGGGCTACCCCAAGCCTGGCATTTGGGGGCATCTCCCTGAGCCCTACAACCTGACCAAGTTCCCAGCAAGCCACCGTCAGAGAGAGAGAGCACCAGTACAGCCCCGACTCGTGAGCTAGTCATGCCCTGAGTACCTGGGTGTGAAGTGGAAGGGAAACACCGCTGGTAACCTCACTGATCGGCCTCTCCAGGTAAAGAAAGCGTTCTCGTTAGGAGCCACCAAAGGAAGAAACACAACTCACAACTCTGCCTCTTGGGACTATCGGGAGGCATTGAGGCAGGGCAAACCATCCCGGTCCCCCTCTTCCTAGCACCTCTGTGTTCCGCCTTCTCCAGCCTTCCCCCCACGGACATCTGTTGTTCCTCTTCTCTTGCAGGTGAACTCTGTTCTCTTTGGCCACTGTTCCTGGGCAGAGGCTGCCTGTTGGCTACACCCCAGGTGCTGTTACAGTATCACATGACTTCACTCTTCCCCGTAACCCTGGGCGGTGGCACAGCTGCTGGCTGCTTTCGAGTTAGGGGAGCCCCAAGCACAGGGGGAGATAGCTACGGCCCTACCATCCAGGCTTCAGAGGGTCTTCAACCCCCACAGTGGCACTGCCACGCAATGCAGGTCATAGGGCCCCCAAAGCCTTTTCAATACAGGGGAATCCCAAGTATTTCCACCAAAGGGCTGAGGGGGGTCCTAAAAGATCCTGACTTGTTTTATTTATTTATTTATTTGACAGATAGAGTTACAGACAGTGAGAGAGAGAGAGAGAGAGACAGAGAAAAGTCTTCCTTCCGTTGGTTCACCCCCCAAATGGCTGCTATGGCCAGCGCGCTGCGCAGATCCGAAGCCAGGAGCCAGGAGCTTCCTCCTGGTCTCCCATGCAGGTGCAGGGGCCCAAGGGCTTGGGCCATCCTCCACTGCCTTCCCGGGCTACAGCAGAGAGCTTGACTGGAAGAGGAGCAACCGGGACTAGAACCTGTTGCCCATATGGGATCCCGGCACCGCAGGTGGAGGATTAACCAAGTGAGCCATGGCACTGGCCCCGATCCTGACCTCTTGATTCCTCGTCCACTCTTCCTGCAAAGCCTGCTGGGCCAGCTCTGCCCCCGGGGCAAGGCAGAGTCTCCTCCAACGTGATCTTTTCTCGTCTCTGACATCAAATGCACGCAGCACCTTCCTCCCACTTCTAATTTCCACACTTTTCTGTTCACGGGTTTCACTTCTCTGAAGTCAGTATCATTGGCCAAAAATTATCCTAGTCTAGAAATGGGTCCCCCACCAAGAGGAAAGGCGCATGTGTGTAGGCCATGTGTGCCAAAGCATGCGTATTTTAAATGTGAAGAAATAGCTCCCTTTGCTTCAAACTCGGCCTCCACCCCGTGATTTCTCCCCAACAGGAAATAATTTTAGAATCCTCCTCGGAGGACTGAAGGTGGCTACCTTCCCTTCCCTCCATTCTAGAATAATCCAGCTATTCTGTAGAAAGGACAAATGCTTGAATGGCAATCCATCAGTCAGGAAACAAGGCCTGGCCAAGCTAAGCCACAGGCTAGGCACATCAGCAAAAAGAGCCTGTGTGGTTGACACCACAGTTCACAAGTCACATACCCCCTCCTCTTCATGGGACAAAGCATCTGATTGTGGTGTATTAATAGCTGATCCATTACAGTTTAAGCTGGGATCCAGTGAAATCTTGCTCCAAAGAATGATAAATCATTGATTAATCTGATAACTGGGGCAACTCCTCCATCCCTCTGTGGAAGGGAGGGAGGCACAGTCTTCCCGCACTTCTGCCTTGCCAAAAACAGTGAGAATTATTGATAGAATGCTGCATTATCCTCACCAGATATTTTTCATCCAGTTGAAGTGACAACAGAAAAAGAGGGGAAATCGGCCAACACAGACAACATAATGATTTTTTTTTTCTTTAATAGCTTACAGCAGGTAAGGGTTCCAGTCTTAAAAGGTGTGGCCAGGGAAGGTGCTACGAGAAAATATACTGCAATGTAAAGAAAAACCCAGCCACTGTGATGGCCCCACTTGCCAGGTCTCTTATCAGAAGTGCTGAGGCTGCATGGAGCCCACTGCCCTTGCTGGCACTGCACTCCAAGGACTAGCCTGAAGTGAGCCGTGGATCAGTGTAGACGGCACAAGCCACCTGCCACTCCCTGGTGGACCTCCTGGTTGCTATCTGGAAGTCTCTAAACGATCAGGAGATCTTCACAGCCCTGCTCTTGTCTCTCCTGTGTGGTAAACTGAGCCCAGTGTCCAGAGGAGGGGTGGGCAGCTGTCTCCCTGCAAGGGGAGTTTAGCCCTCGGGTGGGGGATGGGCTGTGTGGGTGAGTGAGCGGAGGGCTGGTGCCAGCAGAGTGTGAGATGCAGTCCCACCGGTAACCACACACACCACACACAAGACATCATACACACATAACAGCACAACACACAAGACATCATGTGCACATGCAACACTCCACATAGCATATACACACAACACACTCAACACCGCACGATATTTAACATACCACATACAGATATGCCGCACAAACCACACAGCACAACCTATAACCCACACACTGCACAAAACACAATACCCCAAACACACATGTATACACACTACATATCACATACATAAAAACACACAACAAATCACAATACACAGACGCAGCATACACAAAAACATATACCACACAACATACCACACTAACACAACACACCACCCATAGGCAACACAAACCCACACACCCTGTACCACATAGACAACACACAAAAATACATCACATACACAGAACACAATGCATATACCATACACAACACCTACACAAACCATACAATATACAACACACACACCACGTGACAGATAACATTTATGCAGCGCACAACACCTACACACAGCAACCTGATACCACACACATGATACATGTACTTAACACATGCAGGAACATACATACACACACGGTTCGCACCCTACACCCTACAGCACTCACTAGAGAAGAGAGAAGCCCACAACACAGCATCTGACTGTGCTTTCCCGCCCAGGATCAGGCAGCAGGTCCCCCACCTGTGCTGTGAGCTCCCTGCTGCGCTGCTCTGTGCAACACGAGCAGAGACCTGCAGACACCCTCCCGGAGCCGGGGACAGGGACAGCGCCACGGGGCACGCCATCCGAGCAGAGGGCAGACGTGGGCCGACTCCGTGCTGGGAAGAACTGAGCCTCCGTTGCTTACGACTGATCCCAGAACACAAGAAAAGACCATGGTTACCACTACAATCTTAAACTTTAACTTGGCTTTGGTATACAGTCTGCGGTTTGAGCTCAGAATTAAAACTCTCTGCCCAGGTGTGCCCTGGGACTACCCCCGGCTGATGAAATGATGTCTCGGGTGGTGTGTCACAGGTTGGATTCTGTTGAGAGCCATGAGTGCGCTGGGGATAAACACTGGGATACAGTGTACTCTGCAACTAAGGTACAACTACCCCAGCAAATGGGCATCATAACCAAAGAGCAAAATTATCACTTATACACACACACACACACACGTGTGTACACAAGGCCAGCCAGACATGCCCTTCTCTTTGAAACATGGCTCCCGTTCCTTGAAGAGAAACACCACAGTTTTCCAAAGCATGGTGGCAGATGTCAGATTCATTAGCGAGATGACCTGAGAACGCAGCTGACCATTTGTCACTGGCTCGGTACATCGTGTTTGAATCCTCTCCCTCATTACGTTCAGATCAAAATGAGAGAGAGGAAAGAACATTCTGTTGTGTGAAGCTCGCGCCTCCCTCTGAGGGCGACTCCTGTTCTGATACTTGGACGACTTTGATGCAGAGAGACAAAGCTTTCAGGTGTCTAACAGGCAGGCAGGCAGCACAGACCTGCACCCACCCACACCCCCCAGCCTGCCCGGGCTCGCTCTCCTGTGCACGGTCACCCCCGAAGCCACCTGACCAGACCTGGCTACTCGCAGCTCGCCTGCCAACTCCGAAGGTGAATCTGCCCGCGGCACAAGACCACAGAACCCAGGAAGGGCTCGTTTTGGCTTGGTCCCGTCTGGTCTGGTTTGGTCTGGTTGGGTCTGATTTAGTGCACTTCAGAGAACCACTGCCAAGTTCGGTGGCCGGTTCAGAAACACGAGGTGGGACTCTCTGGTAGAGCTCTTGGCTGCCTCCTACCCCAAGATTCTGAACATTTCCACCAAGTGTTTTTGGTTAAAGATGTTCAAGAATAAAAGGAGGTCCCTACTTTTACGAGCCCCACCTCCCACCGGCATCTGAGGTCTCCAGGAGACACAATCCGGGGTTCCTACTCACTCGCGCTGTGTCACAACGTAGCCGTACTCCTCTTCCTCTGAAGACTTGACCTCCAGCTGCAAGCCCTCCCTGGCAGGGTCCCGGGCTCCTGTTTGAAGGCTTTGCTGCTTCTTCCAAGGCCCTCGGGTCCAGTCTGGGGGTTCCTGGAGCCTGTGCACCCTGGGCTCGGAATTCGGCATCTCCAACAGGTCTTTGGAGTAAGTCTGGCTTCTCACGTCTTCCACCCCAGCAGTCTCCTCTTCCGAAGACAGGGAAGCTTCCGGTTCCTCCGATTTCTTCATCTCCGTTTTGAACGACTTTGCAGGGGTGGGGCTCCCAGGGGACAGCCGAGATCCGCGGTCCTGCAAGAGGTCGCCCAGTTTGACGCTCAAACGATTGACCTGGTGGAAAGCAAACTCGGTGAGATGGCGTCTATGATGAGGATTATTGACATCTGTCACTGAAGAAACATCTGCAGTAAAGTCATCCATACGGGGCTACAGGCAGCAAGCAATGAAGGGACACCTTTTACAGCCTAAGCTTGGAATTAGCTCTAAATGTGAAAATGCTAAAGAGGAGGGCCTTGTTTACCACAATCACTCAATGCTCAATGTTCCCTCCCCCTCCCCCTCTCCCTCCCTCTCCCCCTCCCCTCCTCCTCCCCTTCCTCCTCTGCCTCTTCCTTCCCCTCTCAATCCCCCTCCCTCTCTCTCTCCCTCTCTCCCTCCCTCTCTCTCTCTCACACTTACATCACACACACACACATGCACTGCTTCCTAAAGAATCCCATACAGCCAAGGGAAGATCTTTGGTCTCTGCATATTTAAAGAATAATCTATGAGCTATCAAAACCCCATCACTCCAGAAGCAATGAACGCCTAATAATAATAATCAATTTCGATGATTTGCATTTGCTGAATTTTTACAGCATACGAAGGCACGCACTAAATACTTCCTATGAACTAACACACTGAGTCTGGATAACTCTGTGAACTAGGGACCACCGCCAGGCTCCTTTCCACAGACAGGGAAACTGAGGCACAGAAAGTCTGACCTACGGGTGAGCCTGGCACAAGGACTCATACTTGCATTCTACCACCATCTCCAGGGAGTCTCGGGTCCTCCTATGGGCAAGGCTCACCCCTTCCTGAGCCCCATTTCTTGGACAAGAAGTTCCTGAGAACTAGTCCATTGGCATCCAAACTGATGAATATTACAACATTATGCATGGATTTTACGTCAGGAACAAATTTGCTTTGGAAAATTATTTTAATTATCACCCAACCCTATGAACAAAACACTAGCATCGTGTCTAAGTCTTTGACTCCACAGCTTATATGGGCTGAAATTAAATAATTCGTACAAAGACCACAGAGGGAGTGGTTGGCAAATTCAGAATTTGATCTTGGACCTAACTGATGTCAAAGATGCTGTCTCTGTCACTGGGCTACCCTGCCACTCACAGATGCCCAACATCTGTATGACAACTGGTACCCCTGCTACTGCACACAGCAAGGCAGCCCACGGGCACTTCCTGGAACATATGAATGGCAAGTGTTACAACCATTCAGAGGGGGAAATCAAACATTTTTGTTTTAGAATAGTTTTCAATTTACCACACTGTGAGGTAGTACTACAAAGCAGTATACCTCTCACCCTGTTTTCCCTATTAACGTCTCATATTAGGGGCTGGGGCTTAGGCATAGGTTAAGCCTCCACCTGCAGTGCCAGCAGTCCATGTGGTTGCTGGTTCGAGGACCGGCTGCTCCACTTCTGATCCAGCTCCCTGCTAATGCGCCTGGGTAAGCAGCAGAGGATGGCGCAAGTGCGAGGGCCCCTTCACCCACATGGGAGACCCAGAAGAAGCTCCTGGCTCCTGGCTTCAGCCTGGCCCAGCCTCAGCCATTGTGGCCATTTGGGGAGTGAACCAGCATATGGAAGATCTCTCTCTCTCTCTCTCTCTCCCTCTCTCTCTCTGCCTTTCAAATAAATAAATAAATCTTTCAAAAAAAAAAAAAGGAAAATGTTTCATAAAAAAAATCTCGCATTAGTATCTTTGTCACAATTAATGAACGATACCGGCTTCCCCTCTTCTATTTAATCCAAACTTCTTTCACCCCTCCCCACCCCTCAAGGGGGTATTGCTTTTAGCCAGAATAGTTTAACTCCAACATTTTTTAGCAGAAACAAGACTAGATTTAGCTTACAGCTCACTTTACCAAAGCTCATTTGTTTGGGAAATTAAGGAAGTCAGTTATTCCTTTTGTGACTAATAATCATTTATAGTTTCTCCTTTGATGACACCATTTGCTCAAATTCGGATCCTACACGCCAACAGTGCGTAGCATCTACGTTATCACACGGGGATAGCAAAGGAACACTAGCCTCACTGTGTGTTTCACATGGGAAGGAAGAGATGGACGCTATTAGATAAATAAGGACTCAGGAAATACAACAAAAATTGGGGAGAAAACTGCTTGAAAATGAACCCCACACGCAACAGGGCAGTGAAGCATGATTCCTCGCATGGGAAGGTTGTGCTGTGAGTCTCCCCCTATTGGGGGACTCAGGAATGCAGCCCTACGAGGTGCCATGTGCTGTCCTGCAGCCTTGGGTGCAGCAGGTCCCCGGCTGCCACCCTCGTCACCCTCAAACGCCCTAGAATCCCTCCCTGGAGCTTCCTTAAGGAAGGAAAGGTGTCTCCCTACCCAGTCCTCCCTCCACAACTCAGAGACTGGGCCGCCACTCGTAATGAACAGGCCCAACAGTCTCTCATGTTCTCTGCCAGTGTTTGCTAACAGGCATTGAATCACAAAACACGAATACAGTGTGACAAGAGAATTACTAGCCAAAGACTTTTCTTTTTCCTATTTACTCCAGAAATCAGAGTTACAGAGATCTACACAATGCCATTGTTGTTACACATAAATTGATTTTCTGCATTCTTAAGACTTGAATTCATGCAAAATAAATAAATAAATAAATAAAAAGCTTCCAAACAGGCAAACGAAACAAACTTAGGAAACATTAGTGCCCAGGCACTTTTGCCAGCTGTCTCCCTGGGCAGTGCTGTTTGAGTCTTCTGCCGTGACAGGTTCGGTATCTGAGCAGGCTGATACACCAGGCAGAGTGCAGATGAGCACCTACAGTGTGGCCAGGCCAGTGCAGGAACTGGATTCCTCATTTCTCTAAAACTAAGTAATTTACAGTTCAGTTTAAATAGCTCCACGTGGCTGGTGGCTGCACATGGGACAGTGCGGGTCTTAGTGAGCTAGAGACCGTGTGTGTCCCCACAGGAGACGAGCCATAGACCTGCACCTACAGGACGACATCACATACGCAAACTGCCACACGGGGTCACCACTCGCTTTCCCTTGGTGGGGAAATTCTAAGAGATACTAATTTTCCATGGTTTTCCTATTACTGCAATGGGTAAATATTAATTTATATTAAAATAAATACGATTATCTCAATAAGTACAATTTTATACTTGTTCTCAATTTGGGGATTATGAGGATTTTTTTTCTGCTCTTTTTTAGAAAGATAAAAGTTTGCATTTCATCAATGTTCTCAAATCATGGGCAAAAAAAATTTAGCAAGATAACTGTATCCAGAGATGCTTCTGTCTTACCTCTTGGTAAACTCTATCATCATCACCACCATCATCACCGTGTACCCTGTTATCTGTAAGAGACAGGCACGTTATCAAAGTCCTTGTCGAGAATGTCATCACAAGGTGTCACAGCGTGTAAAAAGACAACCACCTAGAATCCCTTCTTTACACAAGATGAGGAGGAACAACGTCGGCCTAATTTCTACCACAAAGTAAACCTTTTCCATTCGTAGGACAAAATAGTGTCCTGTCAATTTCATGAAAGAAGGGTTTGCCAGCAACAGGACAGACACAAAGTCAGTCATAAATTGCATTTCCCACTTCTGTGGATCTATGTGTCAGCTCACAGCAAGAAAAATCCATTGTACCTAGCAGCAGTTGATAATTACAAGAAAGGAAAGTGAAGTGTCTAACCCAAACCGTCTCGCAATTAAGATGGCTTCAGAACCCGTGCGGCGAGGCTGTTTGCTGGTGGCGCACGTTTCTCTCCATGAACACCCTATCCGCAGAGGGAGAGGGATGCGTATTTCCTTTGCTTTCTGGCCTGCTGAACGCACGGCACTGAATCAGGTGCCTTCAGGAACCCTGAGAAGCAATCAGGCCACAGGGAAGGGCCTTGCTCAGAGGAGCCTGGCCTGCGGTCATGGCCTGCGCAGGGGTCTGGCTGTCCACGTGGGTAGCGTGGGATGCGGGGCAGGCATTTCTTCCCCTCCCCTCAGCAGCCTCAGAGGGTGGGTGCTGACATCCGAATGAACCCTTTTCACCGTATCATTCAAATATTTGACAACATTCACGCACATAATCCAAACAAAAACACTTTCTCGCATTCCCATTCATTTTTTTACAACCCTGAAACCCAACACGGAGGAATTAAACATCCTCACCGAGAGCAATTTGCCATTCAACATAATTGCTCGGGTGGGCTTAGTCTGTTAAGAAAGCTTTTAGAGGCAAAAGTTCAAACAGATAAAAATCATTAATACAAATCCCCATGTCCCCAGGAGGAAGAATACATAACGGCATGGCAAGCTGCAGGTCTTCCACAGCTCTGAGGCCTCCCCCACTCCCCCCAGTGTCGACCCCCAAAGCGAAGGATCCAGCGGTCCGGAGGTCACCTTGGAGCGCGCCTGCCGGGCTGTCCACCTGCTCTCTCGGCTCCCCTGCGGCTCCTCTCGCGCGGCTGGCCTGACCTCCTCCTGCACCCCCACCTTGCATCACGTTGGCAATCATGTTTGCCATCTCATCCAACTCCAGGGAGCTCAGGCTGTCCACCTCGGCCTGCTGCTTCCTCAGGTCCTTGAGCAGGTTCTGAATGAGGTCTCCTGCAGAACACACAAAAAGGAACACAAGGAAGTGGCGGGTTGCTATACCCCAAGGAAGCCCAAGGGTACCGCGCGTGGGCCGAGAGCTCCCAAGGCAAAATCCTGCCAAAGTCGGACACGGCAGACATTCACCAGACACCTGTTACGCTGGATTATGAATCGCCAAGTCACACGAGACCCGCTGGTCAATGCCATAGGTCAGCGTCTTCAGAAAACTCTTCCAGACGTGGAGAAGCAAGGGAAGGAAGGACAAATGCATTAGCCTGATTAGGAAGCAGGTCTCTGGACAACCATCGCCACAGCTGAGCGAAAGAGGAAGGCGCATTCAATCCATCAGTCTGTCGGTCACATAGGAGGGACAATCGGCTGTTTGCTTCTCATTTGAGAAAAAGAAAGACAATACTTGGCAAAGGGACAGCCCCGTGCCTTGTCCTCTTAGACACGTGACACTGCAAATGTGGACACAGTCAGCATGTTTCCCATGGTGGATTTTCTTTCTTTCTTTCTTTCTTTCTTTCTTTCTTTCTTTCTTTCTTTCTTTCTTTCTTTCTTTCTTTCTTTTTCTTTCTTTCTTTCTTTCTCTCTCTCTCTCTCTCTCTCTCTCTCTCTCTCTCTCTTTCTTTCTTTCTTTTCCCTACAGCTAACAGATAAAGGCCTCAGGGGAACTCTGGCCGCCGTGGCAATGAGCCCTCTCTGTGATGTGACAACCTCTACAATACAGCTGGGTCTGAGAGCTGAGCTGCAGGTGAACAGCCAAGTCAAGGGGCCCCCTGGAAATCACATCAGATGTAGGTTCCCTGGTAAAGCCAGCCCCTCGAGTCTCCATCCCAAGCACAAAGAAATCAGAGACACTACAGTTGTTGGGGACAAGATGGCTCCTCCCCCCAGTGAGGGTCCCAGCAGACGCCCCTGCCCTTCACAGATTCTGCCCCATCTCCTGTCCCTAGAGCAAGCTCCCTCTTCCGGGCCTGAGCAAGGACGTGCCGGGCATCACCACGCAAGGCAGGCAGCAATAAGAACAAACGTGGGGCAAGACGCCAATTTGCAAAAAGCCCCATAAGAACAAGCTGCATCTGAAATTGGCAGGCAGCTCACTCTCCAGCTTCGTCCTTGAGACCCCCACCCACCACCCCTCCTGTGCACCACAGATCCCTGCGCCCCCTACCAACCTCCCCTCTCCCCTTTGCCAACCACATAGAAAAAGACCAGGCCCAGCAGTGATGAAGACGGGCGTGCAGTCTGGCAGATCTGGGAGATCTACAGCTACACTCAGTACAGGGCCGGGCTCAGTGTCCAGCTCTTTCTGTGTGGTTCGTCTGCATTTTGCTTGCTTCTTCACCGGACACGGAGGATGTATCACCTCTACCATCAGAGAGACGTGAACAGGTGCCTCCTGGCTCCCAGGTGCCTCCTCTCAGGCCTCTCCCCTCAGAAGAGGCAACACAGGAGGTTAGTCTCAGGGACCAGGTATCCAGAGAGGCTAATGGGACAAAGGCAGGTGGCTTTGGGGATGGGACGGGACTAATGACCCAACACTTTGCAATAGCTCTGTTCCCACTATTTAGGAGCAAGTCCAGCCAGCTTTGCTTCTGACACCACGAAGACAGAGGTAGTGATGTCCTCCATGACATTGAGCTGTGAGCCTGGATGCACCAGCAGTGGTTTTCAGAAACAGAAATGTGGACAGAGAAGCCGAGCTCACAGAGCAGGGGGACTGGGAAGAGGCCCCTGCGTCTGGCCAGCTTTATGTGTGGGCACTTTCTGGACCCTGGTAAGGAACAGGAGCAATAGGATCCCCCAGCTGAGGGGTCGGGGCCACAGGTTGCAGCTGGTGAGGTGATGAATTGAGGAGCTGAGCACTTTTAGGAGGAGGAGCACCCCGGAACTCTGCACCCAAGTCCACTACGGTTCTTGGCAAAGGGGCGTAGCCAGGTCTGGGTAGACTGCTGAGGGCAGAAAGTGCTGGGCTAAGAGCTGAGCAGAGAGCAGAGGCACACAGCATGGGAGGCACTGGGGACCCTGCACCACCACCACGCTGCGTGCAACCTGCCCAAACCCAAGATGCTGGCTGGTGCCTAAGGGAGGAGAGACGTTCACTCCCACGGTCAGTTCTCGGTTCACACACCTGCATGGCCAGCCGCTCCTGGATGGAGCGATGATACCACTGGGGGAGGAGACAGACTGACCCTCAAGATGCGTCTTCTATGTTTTCAGCGACGACCGAAATGTCACTGTCAGAAAGTCACACATTAGGCCATGGAGCACCTGTGCGCTGAGGGGGCAAAGCCAGGATGGCAGTGTCTTCAGAAGGACCACCAAAAAGAGGGTCAACTCTGATAAAATACAAGACGTAGTCTCATAGGGTCAGAGGATTGTCCCAAAGTCAACGGCTGCTAGGAAGCCCCACTGGGGGAAAGGGACGTAATCCCGAGTCCCTGTGTCCACAATGCATGCAGAAGCTGGAAACGTGACCTACAGTCACGGACAAGGCGGTAAAGTGAACTTGACAACAACCGCAACAGAACCATCACAAGTCCTATGAATGAAGAGCACATCATTTGCAATGAAAGAACTCACTGCACGGGGTTCACAGCAGATTAGCTGATGAAAGAGAGGGTTGGTGAATCCGGAGAGAGAAAATAGAAATTACTGTTATCTGAAGAACAATGAAAAATACTGGACAGGAATGGGTGTCTGGCTCAGTGGTTAGATACGGTTCAGCACACCCACGTCCCATCCTGGAGGGCTGGATTTCAGTGTCAGCCCCATTTCCAATTCCAAATGCACACCCTGGGAGGCAGCAGGTGACAGTGCAAGTACTTGGGTCCCTGCCACCCACTTGGGAGGTTCGGATGGAGTTCTGGGCTCCTGGCTTCAGCTTGGCCACCCCTGGCAACTGCAGGTATTTATGGAGTGAACCAACAAAAGGAAGATCTCCCTCTCTCTGCTCTCTTTCCAATAAAATTGAACAAATAATTTTTTATAAAATGAAAAATACTGAACAGACTGTGGGATAGTATCGAGCACGCCATACTGCCATGGAGTCCATCAGAAAAAGGAAAAATGAGACCACAGAAAAAGAAAAGATGTCCCAATAAAAAGTACACACATTTCCCAAATCTGATGGAGAATTAGCGTGGAGATTTAAGATGCTCGGTATATCCCAAGAAGAATAAATACAAAGAGAACCACATGACAGCATCTCATAGTCAAACTGTTGAAAAATCAAAGGTAAAGAAGATACCTTAGGGGCTGGCATTGTGGTGCAGCAGGAGCCAGCAGACTGAAGCAAACAAATAAATCTTTATTAAAAAAAGGAAAATATCTCTTAAAAGCAGTCTGAGGCAGGTACTTTACCTACTGGTAAGGATGCCTCCTGACTTCCCCATTAGACTACCTGGTTTTGATCCTGGCTCCATTTAAAAAAAAATTGTTTACTTGAGAGGTAGAGCTACAGACAGAGAGAGGGAGACAGAGATCTTCAATCTGCTGGTTTCTCCCCAAATGGCTGTAATGGCTGGAGCCGAGCAGATCCGAAGCCAGGAGCCAGGAGCTTCTTGTGAGTCTCCCATGCGGGTGCAGGGAGCCAAGCACTTGAGCCAGCCTCCTCTGTCTTCCCAGGCCATAACAGAGAGCTGGTGGAAGAGGAGCAGCTGGGATACGAACAGGCGCCCATATGGGATGATGGCGCCACAGAGGGAGGCTTAGCCCACTATGCCACAGCACCGGCCCTGGCTCCACTCTTCACTCGAGCTTCCTGCTAACACCGACCTAGGGAGGCAGCAGTGACGACTCAAGTATCTGGGATCCTGCCCATCATGCGGGAGACTCCAGACTGAGTTCCTGGTTTCAACTCCAGCTGTGTTGATGCAGGCATTCACAGAGAAAACCAGTAAATGGAAGAAAGCCTCTCTCTCTCTCTCTTCTTCCCTCCCTCTCTCATTCTTTTGTTCCTCTCAAACAAATAATTTTTAAGTATATACAGCTGTCAGAGGGTACAAAGACATGTTTCACATGGCGGGAAAATGTTCTTAGAGAAATGGCGGTCACAAGACATACTGAATACTGAATGCTGTGTAAGAATGACATCCTATGTAATGAGATATGTCACAGTGTGTGTATATATATATATGTGTGTGTGTGTATGTATATATATGTGTGTGTATATATATATGTGTGTGTGTATATATATGTATGTATATATATATTTATGAATGGCATGTTTGAAGGGTCCAAAAATCCCTTCACTTCAGAAGACTATATCCAGTGAAAATATCCTTCAAACATGAAGGTGAAAAAAAACACTTTCTTAGCATGTATATGCAAAAATTTAAAAAGAGAGAGCGAGCTAAGACAATCTGTCAGCAACAGCACTGCACCACGAGGTTCTTCAGAGAAGGTGCTCTGCTTGGGAGACGCGTTCCACATAGAAGCTCAGTTCTCCGGGACACGTTGGAAAAGTCCCTGGGAGGGCAACTGTGTGGGGGGATTTAGAAAGACCACCTTTGGGGCCAGCGCTGCGGCTCATTAGGCTAATCCTCCGTCTGCGGTGCCGGCACCCCAGGTTCTAGTCCCAGTCGGGGCGCCGGATTCTGTCCCGGTTGCCCCTCTTCCAGTCCAGCTCTCTGCTGTGGCCCGGGAGGGCAGTGGAGGATGGCCCAAGTGCTTGGGGCCCTGCACCCACGTGGGAGACCCGGAAGAAGCTCCTGGCTCCTGGTTTCCGATAGGCGCAGCTCCGGCCATTGCAGCCAATTGGGGAATGAACCATCGGATGGAAGACCTCTCTCTCTCTCTTTCTCTGCATCTCCTCTCTCTGTGTAACTCTGACTTTCAAATAAATAGATAAATATTTTAAAATAAAATAAAATAATAAGACTACCTTCCTTGTGGTTTCAATGTCTGTAAAATGTAACCCTTAGAGGGGATAAACCACTGGCCCCTTCTAATGTAGAGTTTATGAAACACAGGTTTACGACACAGAGGATGGAGGGTAACTGGAG